ATCTGAAGCTTTATCTGAAATCACAGGAAACGCTTTTCCGTCCACCACAAATGTTTAAACACCCCGCGACAGAGTAAAGCACTATTACATGAGCTTCCTGACACCGGATCTGATGCCGAGGAAATCGCACTTTTGAATCATGACGATCGGCAGTTGCGTTTGCTCTGCACAAGACCCAAAATGGCGGCGCCCACAACAGTGCTGGGGAACGGAGTGCCGATACTCTAAGCGCAGCTCATTTAGTGGCTCTAGGCATGAAGTGAACTCGGGTGTATTCTTTTCCTTTTCGTCTTTATTGTTTATTGATTTCAATCATATCTAATAATGAACACATTATATCACACTAAATGTGAAGGTAAAAAGACACGGACACTGATGGTGATACACACGCCAACGCCGCCCTCGACGATTTCCTGAACATTAGAAATCAGCAATTTTGTCTGCCATCCGTCAGGTAGTGCAACAAAGCACCCAAGCAGTTTTTAATTATTTTCGAAATTAGCTAAGCTGTATACCTATCAAGAAACCAAATCAAGATCATTGTAAAAATATAATACATCGCAATGTACAGTCGGGAGCAAAAGTTTGCGGGGCACGGGAGCGCGTGCCGAAATGCATCGCCGCGCCGTCCGACGGCGCGCCGCCGCATTAAGGAGCCGCGCTCTGCGCATGTGCGCCTTTCGTGCTCGCTATCATGTCTCTTTTGCTCGTTTCTTTCCAACGCGCACCTGATAACACGAGTCGGCGCCAGGGGCGCGAGTTAGCGCTTCGCTGGCTGTCAGGCTGGGCGTCTGCTTCAGCCGCCTCAGCCGCCGCGCTTTGTGACGGAGCTCGCGGGGGGGAAGGGGGGGGGGGGGAGGGGGGGGGGGCTTGGGATCTAAACGCTTTGTCACCCAGCGCGGCTGCTGAGGCAGCTGAAGAGGACGCAAGGCATGACAGCCAGCGAAACGGCAACTTGCGCCCCTGGCGCCGATTCCGGTTATCACGAGTGAGTCGGACAGGAACGAGCGAAAGAGACATGGCTGCCAGCACCAAGGGTGCGCATGCGCAAAGCGCGGCTTTTTGATGCGGCGGCGCGCCGTTGCACGGCGCGGCGATGCACTTCGGCACGCGCTCCCGTGCCCCGCAAACTTTTGCTCCCGACTGTACATCTATTTTATACAATAAATGTTATTAGATGCCAATAAATCTGTTTGATGTTCATAAAAGATATGCGTCAAAAACAGGTAAGTTTAAAGGGTAGCATTGTGACGTTGAAAATGAAAAAAAAGCCTTCGTCCACTTCTTGGGCAAGCATTGTAGCTCTAAAGTTTATAAAACATCTTATCGTAGAATAATTATTTCCTCAGCGGCACCTCAGCACCGTGACTTGAAGCACAAAAAAGTTCTACGTTTGATATAAAATATCTAAAAAAAAAGTTACACAACGTTAAAATTTTCTTTGCATATTACCGATTATAAGCACTACATCTCTAGCTATTTTATTGCCGTAGCGCATGTCATTAAAAACATATTTGTGCTGAAAAATTACAATTTGAGGGCAATATTTGGAAAGATGAACAAAACGAAGTATAGCGAATACCAAAAATGGTATATTGTTGCGTTCTGCTCCGACATCCATCTTAACAAAACTGCTCTGTTGAAACCGTGTTATCTTTAATAGATCGTTCATGAAATATGAACCAGCGGAGCCAGTGAGGGTCCGCGACATCATATTCGCAACGCTACAAATGCGCATGAACGGTATAAACCAATACATACATATTGTCAAATGAAGGAGGATTGCATTGCCTTTGGAACGACATCGATCCCACATAACAGCCTTCAAAAGAAGATGAGTAATGACCTGCCAAAAAGTACCTAAACTGCCACATTCAGTGGGACTGTCGCGTTAAAGGGACACTGACAGGGTATTTATGCTCGCCGAGGTTTTTAGTTGTACGTGACATATGAGAGCTCAACTACCCAGAACAGAATTTACGGCTCGAAATTCGGTTTCTTTCCGCCCGAAAACCGCCGATCAAGAACTGGCCGGTTCGAGTCTCGCTCACTCTCTTCTCCGCGGTCACGGGCCGTTTTCTAAGGTATCGATGCGACCACCAAATTTAATCAAAGTCGTGGGTCACTGAAGGCACACACTCAATATTAAAAATAGAAAAAAATATGAAACCCATTTTTTGTGGCTTCTAAAAAGCTGCAAATACGTTGATTGAAAAAAAAGTTCCACAGACAACCGGAAGCAATCTGTGCGTGCGTCGTTTCGCGTATCGTGGGACTCGCAGGGGCGCAGGGACGGCGATGGCAGCGGACGACGGGCGTGGGACCTCTATTTCAGAACTGTCGTTCGCGGTACCGGCGAATTTTGTCTGCCTTTAAAAGAGAAATTTGGGACTGATCAAAAGAACTGGTATTCATCCCGTACGACACGCCCGATCACCAAGCCGATTTGCACGAAGACGTCGCCGAGCCGTCGTCGCTCCCTTCTCGTGGCTGAAGACATCGCTCGCGCAAACGTCAAGCACGACGTGTCTACTTCAAGTTGAGTATGCACGCGTACGATTTCTTTACTACGTGAGAATGTCGTCAATGCGCGGTGCATCCCGACTTCGACCCGGGAATGCTTTCGCTAGAGGAAAATCGGCAGCAAACTTTCCAACTTACAGTTTATCGGCTGAATTATTACTAAGGAAAGAGATTCCCCACTTTCGGTATGCCCCAGTAGCTCGGTGGGAAAGACGTCCGCTAAGCACGCGGTAGGACCGGGTTCGATCCCCCGTAAAACCTTTTTTTTTTTTTTTTTTAATATTTTTTGATGTCTACATTTCTTTTTCTTTTTAAACAATTATCACTGAAGAAACAAAAATTAAGAAACAAATGTTGTGGACGACACGTCGCCGAATTAAATGGTACGGGATTTCCTTTTTGACACCTGCGAACTCAATGTAATCACTTTCCACAAAATGCAAGGAGCATATAAATCAGGTAGCGTCCGCTTTCCGAGGTGCCCGTAAATGGTCTACAGGAATTGCAGCCAGCCATTGGTCCCGATCCCTTTGATCTTTCGGACACTCTGTCGCACAATGCCACTTCTGTTTCGGACGCAGGGCATGTGAGCCAGCTCTTCACGCAACATCTTGGGTGTATTCTTTTCGGAGCCGATCAAAATTCACCACGGGCACTCACTACTCATCTCCAACTCCTCAATGTACAAAACAACTCATCTTGGAGTACAGAACAACGAGCGGAACATACATAACTGCAAAAGAATCGCTCGGTGAACAGTTCCGGTACGCCGCATGTCGTCTGCTACGGGAAAAAGGAAAAAAAAAAAAAAATACGGTCGCGTGTAGCCACGTGACTTCCGCCACTCACTCTCTTCTCTCCACTTCTCCGACCTCCGTCGGGTTTCGGTTTCGGTTTCGAGCAGTTGCGTCTTTTGGCTTTATTAAAAAAATACGCTACTCTGTTGCAAAATATTAATTGGGTAGTCCTCCGACACCAAAATGAAGCGCCTGGCAAAAAATTTAAAAAAAAATTTTGGGGGGTGTCAGTGTCCCTTTAACACACTAGAACAATGACGCCATTTATCATGTGGCCCTGGAACACTCTGAACCCGTGTACAACATCACAAAATGTTTTGCAGTAATTTCGATATCAAATCTAAGTATTATTTACGAGATATAGTAGGTTCGGATAGTCTCAGATTAATTTCAAGCCCACGGTAAAAAACGTAGGATTAAAAAAATTATTAAAAAAATGTATACGCAGGCTCGAAGTGTTCCAGACCTACCCGATAGATAGCGCCAGTGTGATAGTGTGTTAAGCGGTCACAAAATATCGCAACAGATTAGGTAAATATCCAGCCCAAATGGGAAAGGCAGTCAAAGCCGGAGTCATACTGCCTATACATCATACAAAAGAGAGTCTGCATACAGATTCGAACGCGAGTCGCCGCGAGATCACTGCTTCGAAGGCCACACGGCAATACGTTCAAGAAGAAACTTGGTACGCGGCATTCGAACCATAGATATTGCCGTGAAGGCCTGTCCAAACAGGAATCGTGAGACGACACGACTCCGGAAAAAATTGTAAAAATTGAAGCGTCCGGCAGTCCGGTTTTCCGATGTCTGTTTGAACACCACCGAGTCAAACTCACAATCTTCCTCCTCACTTCCTCCGCTTTTCGGTAACCTCGGTGCTCGTCAGACTTGACGTCACACGCCACCTGCCAATGTTGTCCATCTGTTCTTCCGGGCCCTCGTATCCTCGGACGTGCTCCTATATGTGTCGATCTTACTCCAGGGTAAGGGTTTCGTACCTTTGCGTTCGAAAACCTACCCGCGTCCAGCGCCGCTCTATCCGTGTTATCACGTGGCACGACCCGCCGGAGTAGCTCGGATCTATTTGTGCAAGATTCCGACCACAGCCCTTCCCTTTCTCCTTTTCGGGACCTGAAGAGCAGCGGAGGCCTTGAGCGATTGACCTACAGCCAACAGAGCTTGTGAGTGGCTGTCCGGACCCACCTGATGAGCATGCTCGAAGCCCTCGTGAACAACACGGGCGAAATAAGACAAAAAAAAATTGTTCAAAAAAAAAAAAAAAAAGGATGGAAGCGATATATTGTACGACTTATGCCAGATTCATGTCATCTCACGATTCCTGCTTGGGCAGGTTTTGGCTCGTGTTTGCAGACTGCATTTTGTATGACGTACGAGCAATGTGACCCCGGTGTTAGGGAGAGCTCGTATGTCCGCTCTGGGCTGGTATAGTCATCGACCGAATGAGAAACGCAGGGCGTATCCTTCGAAGACGGACCTCCAACAGGCACTTCGTGCCTTTCGTCGTGCTCATGGCTGCGTGTACTCACCGTGTCATTTACTCAAGTGGGCCTCCCTTGCACTGTAAAGCTCACGGACGATGCAGCGCTATTCTATTTACTCGCACACCTCTACTGAAAATGCGTTCGTAGCTAATTCTCATTACCGTAACGACCCCGACAGGTATGGCGTCCTTGCAGCCCGCAAGTCAGAGTGGCTCACGTACCAGGACGCGCAGAGCCTGGAACAGCTTCTTGACGCTATGGCGAATGTGACCCAGGGCGCGTCCTGCTTGGGCGTCTGGGACCCGGAGTTTGACGACTTCGCGGGGCACTGCGGAAATGACCCGGGCCCCAGATCGTACCCACTCACCAGGATTGTCTTCGAGGGTCGTCCCACGGTGGCGGGTCTTCTGGAATGACATCTTCGCCAATGACTCAATCAACCTTAGTGCCCGCGCTCAGGATAAAATGCTGGCCTTCTTATCTAGTTCATTTTAAAATATACAATCATAAATACAACTTGACCACGCGTGCAGCTTCCGACTACACGCACAATCCCAGTACGTGAAATCAAAGAAGTTTCTTTTATTAAATTCAACGAAGTCACACCGCAAGCCCTTTTGAATATAGATTTAAACTTGTTTTATTAATGTTTTTTTTTTTATCACTAATCTTTTCTTCTTTTAATAACTATGTTTTTCTGCTGTAATTTCTTCTCTGTGTTTCTGTATAAAATGGGTTGGATCGATGTATCATATGTCTGGCCTTCTAAATAAAAGCAAATGCAATCTGGAAGATAAATTTTGCGTGAGAGAAAATTGTCTATTTATAAGGGACTTATAGCAAACCGTTACCGCGTTTTGCGTAGCGCACTACCGGCGCCTATGAAGCATGCTTTTAAGCTCGTGCTCCGCGGTCACGGTGTAACCCGGGCGCGCGCATAAAAGCCCGCCTCAAATGCTCCGGTAGTGCGGTATCCGGAACACACGGACGGTTTGCTAAAAGTCCCTAGTATTTTCACTCATTCATCCCAGTTGACATATGCATCCTACTACTGAGATATCGCTAATTTGGCACTGCATCGGCGCGACTGTGAGTACGAACTCAGCGCAGGGTTAGCGCTACACATTGTGTGTTTGTGTGTGTGTGAACAGGAGAAGGCAGGTTGTCATGTAGCGCAGCGCCGATACAGCGCTGATACCGCCCAAGGTCAGCGGTGTGTCTATAGCGCCGAGTTGGCGCTGCGCTGTATGGGAAAACGGGCCCTGATTTGTGCTCTTTATACCATGTGTATTCCATAGCATTATTTAAATGTTGCTTCTTGTTTCTTTTTACCTGGAAAGTTTTCTGGCAAGCTTTAATTATCACCTTCATGGATAAAACAAAAAAAAAGTACGTTCAAATTTAGGAACACAAGGGGATTCCTTAGTGGCACCGCCCGTCCCGTTCCAGCCCGTCGTTTAAGCTCATGCAAAAAAAAAAAAAAAAGAAAAGAACCAGAGGAACGGGGACGGCGGCGGAAACGGTGGCAGGGACTATCGCCCTTGGTTACCTTGGTGGTGCTGTTACCGCATGGTTCTTGCAGGTCTGCTTGCCCACCATGCAGTCTTGAAGGAAAAAGCGAGTGCGTTAGAATATAAATTATTGTACTCCGCTTGGAAAATTTTTAATAATCAGCATGCTCATTTGCTCAACGCACGTCAACATCTCCCTGACCTGTGACATGCTCCTGCATAAACTTAAGTACCTGAATCTGTTTGTGATGGTTATGCATGTAGCGTCAAATGCACCAGTGCATGAGGCCCGTGTTTCGAGCGCGGTCCTGGGATGAAAATGGCGTCGCAGCACTTAAATGAGCGGCCCTTGGAAGCAAATGGCGACGGCGCACTCGCTCGTGCAACGTGTCTTGAGCGTTTCCACAACAATGGCCGGCGGTACTTGAAAGCGCTAACCTTATCAGGGGATTTCAGCATAAACCGCTGCGCATTCGTAGCCAAATAAATTAATTTTAGCCCCCTGACCAGCGTCCGCTAGTGTCTATTGCAGTAAGTTGAGTTCCGGATCGAGGCTTGTTTGGCTGAATGAGTTGCACCACCGGCGTTCATTGCTTGACACCAGCAAATGCATTGAACACTCTCATTTAGATTACATCTTCGACGACCAAACTTCGACGAAGTTGTTTTAGGAATAATAGGAAATGTTTGTGCTGTGATGTCAATAGTTTCTACACTAACGTTTTAGCTGTAGAATTATTTTCTATCCTCTATTGACTGCCTCCACGGGCCCCACGAGCAGCCAGTGGGAGCTACGTCGTCATGAAAGCAACCAAAAAACTTTGTTTCGATGCCACGCTTTTGTTTTGTATTCTTACTTACGAAGAGTTTCAGGCTGTGTTGGAGGCATAAGTTTTGTTTTAAAATCAAAGCAGACGATGTCTGATAACAAATCTCCCCTTTCTCGCCAAAGCAATTTCTCTTTTTAAAACATCCTCATAAAAAAGGTGTTCGTGTTGCGAGTTACCTCAAGCAAAAACGGCGGTTTCGAAACACGACGAAGAGGATTCGGAACATTCAAGCAGATGTCTTACGTCGAGGGCAACAGACGACAGATATTGGCACGCTGTTCGCGTAATTTAATAAGATAAGATACGATAAGATAAGTTTATTTGATTACAGAAAAGCTCTCATACATTCCTGCTCTCTTAAGCGTAGATGCGCTTGTATGCGCAACCTAACCTTCTAATCTGCCACTGACGACTGTAAATACAGTCCACACTGTTCCTGAGAAACCTCACGGAAGTTTCTTTACAATACTTCTCACACTAGCGTCAAAATCAAATTTTTATTCATTCCATAGACTCTACAGCGTCGCTGTTTCAAAGTAGAAGACAGCAGGTTGAAGATTGCAGGATGGCGGTGCGCAAAGTTAGCTCAATGTGCGATTCGCTAAGCAGCGCCATTGAAATAACACTTTAGCAGCAGCTGAATATCTTCAGAATTTATTGATTCGTGATATATGAACTAGATTGGTGCTACAACTTCTCGGTGGCACACGGGATTGTTTACGATGTCTGATGTGCAATAAAAAATTAGTAGTTTAAGAAGGTTTCTGCGTAGCAGGTCCTTTTTCGCGTTATAGACCCCTTCAAAAAACATGGCACCCCCCAGCCCTCTCACCGAAGCTATACTGACATGTCCATTATGCTACAGTGTTTATGTTTACACATTTGTGCTCATGTTTATGTTTATTTTATTTATTGATGCTCACTAACATTAACATGACTTCCCGGTGGTGCACTACAACACAGACGAAGAAAAAATATGCGCACACAAATCAAAAACTAACATTACACAAAATGCCAAATGAAAAATATAAATTTTAATATAGTTTTGAGATTGCTAAGTTTTTTTTTTTTTTAGATTAGCTTAAACATATAAACATATAAATGGAAGGTGGCGAAACACCGTTAAACAACATTTCCATTCGGGTGACAGGTGAAAGCAGGAAGTGTCCACCAACCTAAAACAGTTGTATTGACCTCAAAGAACAATATGGCTGATGTGACTACCCCATGAGTGACGGTGGCTGAGTCAAGGTGCGGTTAACTTTGTCTATTATAGCGAAAGAAAGGCGTCTAGTCATAACCAGCACAGAGCATCTTCTGCGTGCCGGGGAGCGGCGGTGATCCGCCGCTGCTTATGTTTCAGCCAAGAGAGAGACGGAAGAGGGAAACTCCGCCGGGGCCCCGCTTGCGAAATCGGGGGTGTCGGGTTGCTCTTCGTCGGTCAGGGAACATGGCTCGTACCGCTGGCTCGTACGGCGCGTACGTAGCAATGGCAAACAGAAGCGTACGGTTTATGCTTGTCTGTGATAGAATAGAAAACTTCGAATAGTAGGAAAGCGGCCGCCTCCGCGTGAGGAACATCGCGTTGAACATACCACAGGGCGCCAGCGCTCTTTTCCCAAGCCCAGCCTCGTCTTGCATGCATGCGACAACCACGAGACATGACCCTGTCCCAGGGTGTAAGATAGACCGGTGGGGAAACGGCCTATAGAAGCCTACCGCAGCGCCGTGACCGGATTGTGTACTCGTCTGCTTGCGGGTACCCCCGCTTTGCGACAGATGGCGCTGCAGCGAAAGGAAAAAATGAGTACATTTCGATTCATCATCGTCATCATCTGGCGAACGCAGCGATGAAGGTGCAGGATTTGAAAAGGGTGCTGAAGGCACGGGGCCTCTCCACCGCTGGCACCAAGAGTGAACTCGTGGAACGCCTACAAACAATTGGGGATGCTCCCAACGACATTCCGCAGGATCTGCATGGTGTCATTTCCAGTCTGGAGTCCCCGGGCAGCCGCAACATGATGGCAAAGGAAGACGAGGTGACTTCCGAAAACAACGATATCACGACAGCTCCTACGGCTACACTGCCCAATGTCCAACGTAACCTTCAGTCTCAGGAGCTCCCGGGCAGCTTTGAGGCGGCGACCGAAGATGGAGGGAGTCTCCCGATGACAGCCAAAGTCGACACGGAAGAGTATGTTGATTGTGCTGACGAGCTCTTAACCGAGACGACATCTGCTCCAATAGTGGCTCGGGACAGTGCTTTTCCGGCCCCCTTAACGCTGCTAGGGGATGCACAGGGCCAGGACGGGCTGCAGTGCCATACCCCCGTGCAGTTTCCAGAAACCAACACGCTCACGGACTCTGGACCTACTGCCAAGGAAAGTCTGTACGAACACAAGGAAAGAGGTACAGATAAGAGACAGCTTCACCCGTCTGCGTCGACCTACGACTTGGTAGTAGAAGAGATGACCCAGAAGGCCAACGAAGATAACATGTCATCGTCAGACAGGGGGCTTGTGAGCAAGGGGTGGACAGAGGAGCGCGCAGGCTATAACTACAGTGTTTGCACCTCACTCGAGTGTGCACAAACATCGCAGCAAACTAGGCTTGAAGAGCTCGAAAGTCAAATGAGTGAACTGACCAATCGTCTACAACACGCTGATGCAGAGAGGAAAAAATTTGACCAGATGGCTCAGCGGCTGAAGAGGCTTGAAAATATGTGGCAAGAAAGGTTGGAAAGCAAGGAAGCACTGCTGAGTTTGATGGCCCGATGCGAGGGACTCGAAACAAGGCTCAACAGATTGCTGAATGATCAGTTGGCAGACCTGCATGTGGCGTCACAAGAAGACACCTGCGACGACCAGGGGGTACTCTCTACCTCGGCGCATAAAACGCAGGCGTCCCAGACAGATTTACTGGGTATTAGGGGCGTGGAGAAAGCAAATGAAGCTCAAGAAGCCGAGAGCAACAAGACAAGCGTGGATGACACGCGCCCAAAGTGTGCCTCAGGCGTCAATAGAGCTGACGGTAGTGAGGACAGACTAGGACGACAGTCACTCCTGTGTCCCCCAG